TAAAGTAAGCCAAAAAAAATAATATGTTGCGTTTACTATTTAGTCTGACTTCGCAATTTCTTTTTATTGCTCTTTTAGAAGATGAAAAGTGTTTAAAAAGTAGCCAAAAAGTTAGTTTTCGTCAGCACTCTGAAAATTTTTTTCCTCTTCTAAGGAAAGTTCTAGCAAAAACTAATCATTCTTTAAAAGAAATTGAAGAAGTTTATTTTACCAGTCTGCCAGGTAGCCAGGTTGGATATCGAATTAGTTTATCCTTTGTGCTTGTCTTACAAGTGCTAAATCCCCAAGTTAAGTGCTATCATCTAAATAGTTTGCTTTTTCAAGCCGGAAAGAACAAGGCTATTAGTTTAATTAGTATTGACCAAAAAAAAACTAAACATCATTGTGCTGTTTACCAAGCAACTAAGTGTTTAATTGAACCAAAAATTATTGACTTAAATACTAGCCAAAGACAAGAACTAACCCAAATAAAAAAACAATTTTCTGATTATTTTATTTATGAAGACTTTTTCCAAACACTTGACCAGGATTTCACCAACTTTCCTCCTAGAAAAATAAGTTTTTTAACTAACTTTCGCCAAATGTTTCCCTATTTTCAATTGCTTAGCAAAAATAATGCGAATTTACAAAATTTACAATAAAAATCTTTTATTATATCAACAAAAAATCAAGGTATTGTTAGCCGACCGTGACTGGTTATGAATAAAAAAATTTCTTAATTCCTTTATGCAAATACTTTAATTATCTTATCTTCTTTTTTCTTTAGAATTTATTACTTTACTGATAATTAATGCTATTAAAATTACTCCGCCAAATATTCCAAAACCAATGGCTATTTTTTGTCCGGTGGTTAGACTATTTTTTTCATTTTCTTGACGAGTCCTTTGTTTTGGTTCACTGGTAGCATTTTCTTGTTTTTGTAATTGCTGTAAGTGTTGAATTGCTCGGTCTACTTGGGGTTTAGTTGCCTGATAAGTAGATGGTTTACCATCCTTAATTGCGTGTAAATTGATAAATAATTTTGCTTGCCAATTTTGGCTAGCCAAAGCTTTTTCGGCTATGGTTAAGGCGTTTTGAATTTCTTTGGCTTCTTTCACTGAATTTATTTTTTGGTCAGTAACAACTTGCTTAACTTCCTCTTTGGAAAACACTTCCGGATTTCAATTTTCACCATTACTATTTTGAGTTTGTACTTCAACAATAGTTTTTTCTATGTCTTGAGATTTTTCCTTTGGTGAATTTTCATTAGTTGTGGGTTGGTTTGGCTTTTGATTTTCTGATTCATTAGTTGAGGGAGAAGGACTATTATTTTTAGTTTGCTTATTTTCCTCAGACGAAGAAGAAGATTGCCGAGAAGATTGCGTCTCTTGCTTTGTTTTGGCTTCAGTAATTTGTTTAATTAATGCTTTTTTGCGGTTATCAATAGCATTTTGGTCTTTATCTTCAAATTCTTTTTTTCAGTCTTTGCCTAATACGTCTTCCTCTGAAGAACTGAGATTAGCCTCTTTTCAAGCTTTTTCTACTTCCTGAATAGCTGCTTGACGAACTTGTTCGAGAGAATTATTTTCCTCTTTTTGTGCTGTGAGTGTATGTGTATTGTCATTTGGCAAAGTGTCTGTGTTATTATTTCCAGCGTCGTTATTGCTTTTTTCTTGTTTTTCGGCAGTGCCGGATGGTTCTGCTGTTGCTGTATTTTTTGTTTCACTGCTGCTGGCTGAATTGTCACTAGCTGCGGCAGTGTTGTTTTCTTCTTTTTTAACAGTAGCAGTTTTAGTATCGTCTTCACTTACTGCTGTCGCACTTAAATTGTTATTTTCATTATTATCTGTCATAATATATTATTTTTAATCCCGTGCTTAACAAAATTTTTACTCTCTCTCTCTCTCTCTGCTATATACTTAACTTTTAGTTAGTAGTATATTTAAACTAATAAGAGGACAATTTAACATCATTTTTGGTAATTAAATTTCTCTTTTCTTTAAATATTCTCATAAATTACAAGCCGACATGATTTTTTTTTTGAATTGTTTCTAGTTCTTTTTCGGTGATTTTTCCCATGGGGAGAATAATCTGATCCAAACTATAAGTTTTTATTTGATCGATCATGGCTTTTCCTTTCTTGCCCTCAATAACTACTTTGACTTCAAAAGGATAAATTTTGGCTAATTCGGTTTTTTTGGTCGTAGCAGGCACCATGATACAACGCTTATTCCATTTATTTAATCCTTCGACTGAAATCACAATACCAGGTCTAGTTTTCATGGCTTCGGTGCCTTCGGTTTCTTTGCGGCTAGTGCGGAATAGGTAAACTTCGCGAGGATAAACAATGCTAGGTTTGGGATGCTTGCTTGCTTTTATTTTACTGACCATATTTTTTGCTTAATTCTTCTTCGTCCTCTTCATCGGCTTCTTCTCATGTGCCAATTTCTCTTTCTCGTGCTTTATCTTTAATTGCTTCTCCGTAATCAGCAAAAATGTCTTCTTTACATTTGGCTTCGATATATGCTCGTAATTTGTCTTTTTTAGCTGGCTTTTTAGCAGTCAAAGGTTCGTTATAAATAATTTGGTGTTCGATTTGATTTTTGGTGAGAAAATTTTTTAGTTTGTTGGCATGGGGAGTTTTAATTATTAGTAACTGTTCCATAATATATGTAGTTTTAGCACATCTCATAAAAAGTTAGCAGTTAACTAAGATAACATTAAAACCTTATCTTTCCAACCACTTTAGATTTGGTAATTAAACTTAGGATATAATAATAAACTCTTAAATTAATTTTTTCCAAAAAGACATAAAATTTATTTATAGATTTTGACGATAAAATTAATACCAACTAACGAAATAAATAACTACCAAGTAAAAAGAAAAATCATTCACTCTGAAAACTCTCTACCCTTCAAAAATAAATCCCGTCGGTGAAAATACACTCAACCTGACCTGAAAGTTTTTTGTTTTATTTGCGACAACCAACTAACCGTAAAATATAATCTGCCTCGGCGAAAATATTCCCAAAAAAATCTTTGGGGCTACTGAACCGGCAAAGAAACTGATCAAAATAAATATATTTGTAATACTTGCTTAAAGAAAATTCTTTTAGGGAAATTTAATGACTGAGGAGTAGAGGAAAAAAAATCCCAAATATTTCATGTCTATCTTTCCCGGAATGAACTGTAAATTATAACTCAAAAACTTGTCTCATGTATATTTATATAATAATTATAATATATCGTGCACTCATATAAAAACCTCCCAAACCATAAAAAAAACTTAACATAAAAATCAAAAAAGTTGTAAAATATAAATATGAGGTAAATTATATGAAAGATATTAAATTAAAACTCCGAGCAATAGCTCTAAAAAACAACAATGAATTGAAAGGAGGAATAAACTAAAATGGTTAATGCACAACAAGAAATCGAAAGAAGATTTCCTAAAAACGTTAATGGAATTTATCTTGTTAACGTTAACTTGGAAGGAGATTTAGATTTATCAGAATACACTAATTTATCTGAAACGGTAGACATCGGATCTAACATGCCTCGATTAAGAAGTATAAAAATACCTCCTTTTTCTCAAATTACTTGGATGAGTATTTTTGGCACTGGAATTAATGACTTTTCCTTTTTGGTTAATCTTCCTTATATAAAGGGGTTTTGTTTTCCAAAGCCCGTTGTTTCAAACAAAAATAATGCTGAGGTTGCCAAAGCAATTCGAGATGTTTCTCGAGTTTATCAAGATAAAGACAACCAATTAAAAGAAAAAGATCAAGAAATCGAAAGATTAAAACAACAACTGCAAGCGCACAACAATTGCCAGACCGAAAAAAACCAACTCCAAAACCAAATCAATAGTCTAAATAATACCAATAGCCAACAAAATCAACAAATTAATACATTAAATAGTGAAAAA